CCTCCATTTTCTCATCTGAAAAATGGGATCCAGAACCTTTCCTCCAAGGATCAGGTGAACCAGAGTATATAAAAAGCTTAGCATCGCGACTGGCTCATAGTGGACACTTAGTGTATGTTGGTGCTTTACGGGCTTATTGCTATTTCTACTTTTCAGCTGAGTAAAGTGGAGGCATCAATCAGAGAGGTGACAGGACACTGACTTAGAGGGCTTTTCAGAAATCAGGTTGGTCCAAACAAGGCTAATGAGGGGTTTCAGGTTCCCATAGGACATCCGGTTGGGCTGTTTCATCATAGTTCCGGTCGAAATCATACCTGGTCATTATATATTTTTGTTTGAAATGTGTAAGCTGGAAAAATGCAAGACACGTAACGCAAATCACAATTTTTGCAACCCATGTTTTGGCATTTCTTAATTAAAAAAAAATCGAATTATAGCCCCAAAAGATGGAAATGGCCCAGGCTTTCTTGATCTCTAAGAGGTGCTGTGGGTGCAGGTTCTTCTGTGGGCGCCGGTTGTGAGAGGCAGGTCACATAGTTAGACCCAGGTCTCGAAGCAGGTAGAGACCAACCAATCTGTGGAAATGTCTGCTCCTTCTGAGGCCGAGGGATCACCAGGCCCTTACCTCTGGATGCACGCTCTCCCCTCTGCAGAAGTAAGGGTGCTTCACACACAACCAACCAACCTTGCACCTGCCTGTTTGAGTTGCCCAGGGCTCAGAGTTGGCTTAATAAAGAGGTACCCTGGTACCCCCCCCCCATTTTTGTCTCCTGAGACTGAAAAGCTCAGCCATATAACCTTTATTTGTGCCAGCTACTCTAATTTGAGGTCCAGGAACTTCTGGCCAGATAGGGCTTTCCACCGCCAGAGGTCATACAGAGCAAGGCTTTCCTGGGACGGGCGGGCCTATGATCCCAGCACGGCTGCCGGAGAGAAAGGAGGTGAGTCATGGCCAGGCCAGGGTCCGGGAAAGGGAAAGGAAGAGGAAACCAGAAGGCCTGGAGGCGCACATGGTTGGAGGGGGAGCCCTTATCTTCCCAGACCCGCCCTGGCTGGTGCTTCCTGCCCCAGCTCTTGCAAAATCTCTTTCCCAGTGCTGCCCCCAAGGTGGGTGCTTTGGGCTAGTACGGGGTTGCATCAGGGGCTTGTGCAAGGGGCAGCTGGGACAGGGGAATGGGGCAGTGCCTGCAGGCCAAGAGGGGCAAGAAAAGGCAGACTCAGGTTCTAGGCCCCATGCCACTTGTCACTGCACACTTGCTGCACCTTCCAGGCCCTCGACATCCTCAGCTTTAAAATGGGTGTTCCAGTCATTGTTCAGAGGTTTCAGTGACATCATCCTGATCCCATCCACTCCTCAAGCCCCAGGCTAAGCTATTGTCATCTCCACCTGGAAAACTGTGCCAGCCTCAACTGGTTTATTCAACAAATAGTTATAATGCTCCTACCATGTACTAGGCACTAACAGGGCTGCAGGAACTAACAATTTAGATAAAAATCCTTGCCCTCTTGAAACTTACGTTCTAGTGGAGGAAGACAGACAGGAAATAAATATGCATAGGTATAAGTAGAAGCAGCTTCACCCTGAAATTACTGAAGCTTAAACTTCAAGTCTTCTTGCCTGGAAAGAGTCCTAGAAACATGTTCATGGTGTGTGTGTGTGTGTGTGTTTTGTAAAATTTGCAAACCATTGTGCCTAGGTTGCAAAAATCTAGGTTCCATGAAACCTAGATTCTCCCCTGGATATGCAAAGGGGGAGGGGCACCTGGGTGCTCAGTCCGTT